AAAAAAAAAGAAAAAAGAAAGAAGAACCGCGGCTGAATCGGTGAAACGAACATAGGGACGCACTTTCGATTAAGCTTTGATACTACCGTGGGTTTCGTGTCGATCCGGAAAAAGTGTGTAACAGGGCCAACAAGAAAATCGAATCAATGATTACTTGTGCACACGGGACACGAACAAAAGCGTGCCATGGACAAGTCTATTTGTGTTTCTTCGACGAATCTGGGCAACTAGAGACGCACGCACGTTACTATTGAGACTCGATGAACGAAGAAATGCGCGTGAGACTCGTGCAACGATCAAACAGCATCGAAGAACAATCCTTTCATTTTTATTCGCCATCGAGCAGATGGAACTCTACGCTTTCCACGCGGAAAGCTCAAAGAAAGGAAGCGACTTTTACGAATACGCGTGGATTTTATTGGAGCAATTCTCTCGAAGAAGACAGTCCTTCGAATATTGATGCAAAGGAAATTCGATTGTGATCGGGTTCTTCTAGGAAATTCCTACATTTCTCTTTCCCTTTTTGTTTCGGTCGTTGAGTAATTTTGAAACCTGAAAATTGAACAATTTTATTTTCGTTTGTAAGTGGTAATTTCTTTGAAATGTATACGTTTCTTTTTTATTTACTATTCCTGAATTCCTCTACTCCATCCATTTTATCTTTCATTTATTTAATATCTCTTAGAAAGAAAGGGAAAGAAATAATAATAAAGAAATAGTAATTCTCAATGACAACACCATAGCTTACGTATTGTAACTGCACAATCTTGATTTTGCTTGCTTTTTTTCTTCCCATTCTCTTTTCCGTCCACCCATTGTTGGCCGTGTGTCGAATTTTGCATTTACGAAACTACAAAAAGGTATTCCGACTGACTCCGCTCAATTTGCGAATACCATTCCCTTTGAAGTTTCTCTTTCCGTAGGACAATCCCATTGAAAATCGCTGTCTGTTGGTGAAAAGCTCGTGAAATGTCAAAAGTGCAGAACCAAAAGCACGTGGCGTTACTCGAAATTTCAGTTCGTCAAAAGTGAATACATTTTATTCTCTTTCATTTTCTATTTTTTTTTTTTTCTTTATATTCTTTCTCCTCCATTTTTTCATATTTTTATCATTCAATTATAAATACTCCAACTCAATTTCAATTTTTCAATCCACCAAAAAGTCGGATTTAAAGGATAATCTTTCTTCTTTAGCATTTAAGTAATTAAGTTTAGCCTAATTTTCGTGGCAACAAGATTTCTGCAAGATCACGGGGAATCAAAGAGCAATTTAATGAAAATAGAAAAGTTTCGTGTGACCAACTTTGTTGATAATGTTAACACGTAGTAGTTTAGAAACTTCAATTTCGTGAAGCTTTTTTCAGAATCAGGTAATTAGGTTCTTGACCATGGTGTCAAGTTGGGTATTTTTCACTGAATAAAACTAATTGTGGAATTCACGGTGAAGAAAACTTCACTTTACAATCTTGACTGAAAACTCACTGAGAACTTCTTTTTCCTTTAAACTTAAAAATGTCTACTAAAGACATAAAAAATTAAAAGACTATCGAACAGAGACAAATGAATATTCCTTGAAATACATATGTAGAATTCCATTAAAATTAGATTTTAATCAATTTCAATTATCACAACTCTCATTCTAATCTACTTTATACAAATGAGAAGACTCAATGAACTTTTACTACATGAATTGCTTGTTTTCCAACAATTTCGTTACACTCCAATTATTCTCATCCTTGCAAGAATCAATCTTCTACACCCTAAATCTGAGTACTCCAAATCGCCGATTCAAAGTCAGGATGCGTGCGATCGGTCGCCACCTGCTTTCTCGATCTCTCCCGGACCTACGGCAAAACAATCGATCGAAGTCGCTAATTTATATTCGCACCAGCTCACCACCGGAGGGAATACAGTTAATCGAGTCTATCGTTAATTGAACGAACGCAATTCCTGCTGGCCGCGCAAGCGACAGATCCGATAGACAAACAGATAGACAGGGCAGTTTGTTCGGTCCGTTTGTTGGTTCGTAGCCGTGTCTACGTAGATGGCTAATTGTGACGTCCATACGAGAGAGTGAAGAGATCGTTACGTCGTCCATCACCCATTTATGGCCGCAGAGCCACCTGCCTCTCCCATGGTTTCGCATGAAGATAGAGCCGTTTCGAACGAAAGCCGACCTCCTGTGAGTATCGAGTATTTTGTAACGAGGATTCAACAGGCAGGATCAATTTCTTCCTTTCCTCTCCTTTTTCTACGTGGATCGGACACACCACGTGTGTATTCTCCTTTTTTCAGGTTTCGTCGAACGTTCGCCGCCACACGACGAAGATGATCGATGGGATCCACGCGAACGATCGACAAGACAAGGATCCTAGGACGAGATAGATCCAAACAGGGATGATCGTTTATTGATGACGCGTCGAGTGCCTCTGAAGCTGCTCTTGAATTGATAATACTTGAGAATTAACGTGGCTGAGGGCGAAAGTTTAAGGAGCCGTGAATGATGGTTTAAAGTTTCCATGGAAAATTCGAGGAACCTGAAATCAAAAGATATGAATGGTTAGAAAATTATTGCGATGAGAGTTATGTAGATTTTTGATAAATAAATACCATTAAGATCTTGATCATTCAATTTCTTACGATTGTATCCTTATTTGTATAATATTCGTGTGAAAATATTACATTTCATAAAATTGGAAATTCTTTTGATAATGATTATATCTAGATGATTTTCATATTAGGCAGAGTGTTCTGAAAGTAAATAGCCAAATTGTATGTCTTAGTTACTTTACAAAACGTATTTTATCGATTTTCATATTCTTTTCACATTCTAAATACGATTTATCTATTTCGATTAGAATGAATTTCTTAAGACATCTGTTTGCTTCTTCATACAGCTAGTTCCTACAGACCTTCCGGTCTAATTGCATCGCACATATTTCATCTCCAAGACAAATATCTCTTCACGAGCCGTGTAATCAAGCAGAGAGGCTGTGCCTTTTCTATTTGCCCTTTTAATCTGCGACCTGTCTCTCCGATTTCGATCATCAACCATATCAACCAACATATATCATCCGTGACAAATATTTTCTTCTGATTCACGTAGAATCTTCGTACGTCTTTGTTTTCCTATCTCCGTTTTCTCTCTTCTCGAAATATTTATTATAATTTATAGAGTAACAGTAATAATATTTTAAATAATTTAATAAAGAGATTAATTATTCTAAAATAATTAAACTTCTTTCCTTGATTAAATTTTAAAAGTTTAAATTATGACTTCAATCTCTTAATAATGTTTGCATTTATATTGTTTTACAAATACATTTTAAATACATCTCACAGATTCGTATACTGGCCAACCATTCGGCAGAAGAGTTAATCCGGTGAAATAATCACGGTATGATTACGGTAATCTCCAATCACATATGTTCGTAAGTTAGTTTCCTGGTACTAGAACGCATTAAATACAGACATGATTATTATTATATATCATAGTTTTCGTTATGCATTGCGTTTTGCACTATTCGATCTCTAATGCACTCTAAATCCAACCATCCACTATAAACTAATTGTAATGTCATGGTTGATCAATTCTATTAAAATTCAATCATTATTACAATCCTACAAGGAAGAGATAATAGGAAATCCTAAAAGGATTTTTTATTCTAGATTGTTTTTATAGTATCAATAAAATATAAATTCTTTTAAATTATAAATTATAAATTATCAACCGATGAGATTTAACTTCTCATACAACGAGAATGATGAAAAAAATTGTGTGAATAATCGATCGAAATGAATTTTTTTCACGTGGAATCGAAAGCAAAGATAGGGGATGAACGCAAGAAATAAAGTGAAATCACAAAATCGGAGATGAGAAAACAAGCGTGCGAGCTTACTTATCAAAACGATACAATTACGACGCGGTAGTCGCCGGTTTTACATAATGCATATCGAGTTACAAAGTAATGTTCAGAGCACGCACCGCGGTGGCACTAATTTCCGTGAATCAACAGCGCCAGGAAGCTCTTCTTGCACAGCCGCTTGAAAAATAACCGCGTAGTCACATCGGTGATTAGTGATGGGACTGATCGCAAAATCATTCAACATAAGGTTCAGACAAGCAGTTTGCAGTAATTTTCAAGTCTTCGTTGTTAAAATTCCAAAATTTCCGTTCTTTCATATTTCAAAAATTTTCTATGCATTCTTATATATCTATATCTAAATTCATACACTCTTCAATTTCTACTTCTGAAATTTCTTTTCTCAATTTCCATACTTTTATACTGATATATTTCCTATTTCTGAACGTATCTTCGATTCATATGTCTAATTTATATTTTCATAATTTTCTTTCTTCTAACTTCTTCCTAACTTGGTTTCATCTATAATCAACAATCGTTATATATTTCTTCTCTAGTTTTACGTCATAATATCTCATCAAAGTATTGCTTTTATTTAAATAACGATACTATACTTACTTATGATTTGAACAATAACATATAATTTGTTTGACCGGATTTTCGATACGATACGTGAGAGTATTAATCCCATCACTATCGTCGATGATCGGCAACCGCACGGCAGGCGGTCGGCTTCTTTCCCGCAGCTCCTTCCAGGGCGACTCTCGATCCATGTTTCATGAGGCTCCTCATGCTCGAACTAGAGAAAGGGCCGGCCACGTACAAGCACTTACAAGCCGAGGGAGGCAGGCCGCTGCTCTGAATCACAGGTACCTAGGCGATTCTTTGTGATCGATACACTCGCGACACTACGGCGCCACCCTTACCTTTTTCTTCTCGCGATTATAATTGTCTTTATCCACAAAGAGTGGGGAAGCTCTCTTACAAACGTTCCATGAAATGATCTTGATTGAAATCGCTAACTTCATTTGTGTCGATATTAGATAGTGTTGAACGAAAGTTATAGGGAACCCTTGTTAGCGAGATAAGGCGATTATTATATGCTGAAGTTCATTTAAACGAAAGGTTTCATTATAAAGTTTGAAGCCGATGTAACATATAGGAAGATTTTCATTGATCAAATTATTAATCTTAGTTGTGCAAGTGGTATAGTTTTCTTGTAAAGCAATAAAATTCTGAAACTAAAGAAAAATAAAAATTACTGATTAATTAAATATAAAAAATTACTGATTAACTGATAATTTAATAATAGTTGTTAATAATTTTTAATTTATTTTTTTATGAGATATGATTCATATTCATATTTTTATATCAGATATAAAAATATAATATTTATGTTTGCTTTAATAATTTCATTATTTCATGGATTGAATTTCTTTTTTACTATATTATTAAAAATTTACTAATAAAAAATTTGGAAATAAATCTATTTAATGATATATTAAAATAAATTTTAGATAAATTTACATAATATATAGATTTACATGAATTCATTTACATTTCAAACTAAAAGAATGAAAAATTATTACAAAGATTATTATAAATTTTACAATTTTTTTATCATTTTAAACTATTCTCTCTTTTTCTCAAGATGAGAAAAGATATGAAATTAGATCGAATCCAATTGGATACAAGCATACCTGGATAAAAGAAAAATTCAAGCACGAAATGTGCGTGCACATTTTCAGTGGTCGCAATGAATAATGGACAGACGGAACATTTCGTCGGGAATGTCATGCAAGCCGAATTCGTAGAAGAGAATCATCTTGTACACGCGTCTACTGCGAAATACAGTTGCAGAGGCAATATAATCTCAAAGATTTCAGGGAATCATCGATGAATTCGACGAAATCTCCTTTGCGGTGAACAGCGAAAGGGTTGGCATGACTTACGTTCGCCACGTGTCCTGACGCGTGTTTGCGAATGCAATCTATAAGCTCGCTTGTCTTAACCGATCGACCATCGATTTGCTTAAATAACAAATTGTAGATTGTTATCACCCACTGAGTTCTTGGTAAATCGAATCAGGATAGAATGAAATTACCCGAGATCTTCGTATTTGCTTAACGAATTGCATGTAGTAATATTTTATATCAAAAAATTTATTTCAATTTTTTGTATCTTTTAATTTTTTTATTCAAATTAAAATATTGCTATTTACCTCACATTTGATCCAATTGAAATTGAGAGAATTAGAATCACGACATTTTCCAAAATGTCTGCTGTTAATTCTAATTTGTAATAATCTAACATGGAATCTTCATTAAAGTTATTTTCCGACATTTGTTTGTAAAATATATAAATATAAATAAAGTATATTTTTAAGTTACGAAAATGCCAATATTGAAGAAAAATTAATACAAATACATTTCGAGCAGAAAAAAGAAGCTATCAGTAGCACATCGCGTGAAGCAAGAAAGAAAAATTCATCTGACAGGAAATCGATGATACGTTGTTACAACTGATGCATTCTTCGATTCTCAATACAGCGTTATGCGATGAAATTTAAACGAAATAAATTTAAACAGGATCAGGAACTGATGTTCACATAAATATGGGGTTAGGGTTCGTCAAGTAAAAATTCACATTAATCCATGGCTCACTATTCACTTAATATGTGTTAAATTTTTTATTTTTCGTTAACTTTTCTCCATTATTTTTTCTTTATCCACTTTTCGCTTTATTTTTCTTTTCATATCTTGTTATTTATCGTAATGGCATATGACTAAACAAATTGTTCACGAACAATATTGTGAGAAATGTTTGTAGTTGTGTCTTTGACAGATTTAAAATGACTTGAATAGTACATTTCATTTACTGCACTTTATATTTCTTCCATCAAATTTTTTTTTTCATTCTTGCCTAATTTATATTTATTATTTCTTATTCATATCACCTTTACTAGATTTGAAAAGTTAGTTTTTTAGAATTTTTAAGTTTTAATTCTTTATTATTTTTTGTTCCTTCGATTTAATTTAATAGAAAACTAATATAACAGAAATGTGGCGTCATCTGGTATATAAAGAAGTAATTATTTAATTTTGTTGTTAAGATCATTGTCCTCTTTATCCTTAAACTTAATATTAAAATATTATAATGAATTTTTATTTATATTAAGATATGTAACAAATTTATTTAAAAATAAAAAAAAATATTCATTTTATTTAGCTTTTAAAATAAATAATTCTTAAATCATAAATTAAATCATGATAATGATAATCGAGATATGATACACATGACATGATCGAAACAGCACAATCGATTAGCAACTATATCTATATATATATATGACTGTTTTTCTAACCTCAAAGTAACGCATGAGTTGCATGCGTTAAAAGAAATTGGAGTGTCAAAATCTAATATTGGAAAAAGGAAATGAGCGATGCCGAACTTCAGGAAGAGGAAAGAGAAGTACTTCTTTCGATATATGATGGAGATCCAGCTTTTAAACAGTTGACACCTATTACATTTCAGTATAAGGTTTGTCCTTCATAAAAATATAAAAAATGTTTTATTATATATTTATTTATTTTTTTGTATTGTGAAATATAATAACTTAATTTTAAAGTTAATCAATATTCGTGATTGAATTATATTTATTTGAGCTTTATTAAAATCATGGTTTTTAAATTAAAATATTTTTTTAACTTTATATATATATATGTATATAACATTGATTTTATATACAGTATGGAGAGGACAATGATATGAAATCATTTCTATTGGAAATTTCATGGGGCACAACATATCCATCAGAAAGACCTACTATTAATATGAATACCTTTTATAACAAGCATATGTAAGTCCAATCATGTTGTTCTTTGACTATCCTTGCATTCTGTTGCTTTTATTAAAGGTGAATGATTGGAATACAGTGTGCAAGAAGTAAAAGATAAAGTGGTTCAACATCTGAAAGCAGAGGCTGATCAATGGTTAGGAAGTGCTATGACTTACACATTATTTCAATCTGTACAAGAACATTTTACTGAACTAATCTCAGCACAACCAGATACTGTTGTTGATTTAAACTCGCAAATTAACCAACTTAAAATAGCAGATGAACATCAAAAGGTAAGAAATAATTATATCAAATTATAAATTTATTTAAAATACATATATAAGAAAATCAATATGTTACGTCAAGCTGGAAGAAACAACAAAGAAGCCAAAGAAGGAACATCTAACTAAAGCTCAAAAGCGCAGACAATGGAATAAAGCAGATGGAAAAGGAGAAAAACCACGAGGATGGGATTGGGTGGATATAGTAAAACATTTATCACAGACTGGCCCTAAACAAGAGCAAGAGTCATAGTTTAACTTCATTGAAATATTTGTACAGGTTAAAGGCGTATTATATTTTTATAAATTATTGGAAATAAACTGGTTTCCATATAGATTTTTACTAATAATATAATCACCTGTGATAAAAATTTGTAAGAAAATATTTATAAATAATTTTATCTCATTTCCAACAAATAGTTACAAGATATGCAAATAAAATTGCTTAAATAATTAACAATTATAAAATTTTATCAAGGTAAATAATAAGGAACAACAATATTTTAATTTCCAATGTTCATGCTGTTTTTTTTACCAGTTTATAATTTTTTATAAAAATCTCCACCCTGCTACTGGTAATAAATTAGTTTCCGTTTTCCATCCTAAAAAATTAATATAAAAAATTATATAAATAAAAGAAATTCTAAACTTTTATCATATAATAGCAAAATTATTTACCTTTATTTTCAAGATCACTAATAAATGCTTTAAATTCATTAGAAATCAATAAATTTGTAGCATAAATACTCTCTATGGCTTTTGATGATTGTATACCATTGTTTGTAGTTGAATATTTTTTATTAAGTACATAAAGTCGCATCAAGGGATACGACAAATCACTTACTTCGGGTTTTAAGAAAATATCCTAAAAAAACATAATGTTAGAAGTATAAATATACAAATGTATTTATATGACTTACTTACAAGTGGCACTTTCAAAGACATACAAATAAACAAGCCGCAAAGACAAGCATGAAAATATGCTTCCAAAACATCGTATGGTTGCGCGTCTTTTTTAAGGCATATAAAAATAGTTTTATTTTGTACATCAATCGAAATCAAATATTTTCTATCTAAAAAGAGTTTCAATGAAAGCTCAGTGTCACTTGTTAAAATTAAATCTTTTTTTATAAGAGCTGCAAGAGAGACACCTATTTTTATATTAAATCCACATATGTTCATTGCTGCAAAAAAAATTATTAATAGAAGTAATAATCTGTATCAATTTAATGTTTTAAATTGAAGTCAAACATTTCTTACTAGATTTTGTTAATAATAATACTGATTCCTTTTTGTTAACTTCTTCTGGTTTTGGAATGACTTCATTCGAAATATAACTTTTTACTATTAAAGCTAAACGATCTTCATTTAAAGAATTTAAGCATAATGCTTTTACCGCCGAATAATTTGCATAAAGATGTATTATCACGAGGAAGAGATAAAGTTCCATTATATATCTACATGCAGATATATAGATACATGCTATAGATACATTAACAATATTGCTAACATGTTTCTTATAAAATTAAATTCACTTATTACAAAAACAATAAATATTTGTAATAAAATACTTACTGGCCATTGTGAAAAATTGAAAGTATTAAAATACCAACAAAAGATGCTATTAAATTTACACATGTTTCTTGACTTCCATCTTTAGCTGATACATCTGCCAAATTATTTTGTAATGCCTATAATACAATTCAGTATTATAATTAAATAAATCTTTTTTTAAATTTTTTTTACCTGATGTTGCGTAAGTGCTGCTCTTGTTGCTCCGCCAGCAACACCAACAATTGATTTCATTGCTGTAGAAATACATAATATTCCAAGAGAATAAGAGGAAAAATAAGGTAAAAGTAATTCTAATCCCATTGCTAAATCATTAAGAATATCAGCAAAAAGTCTCCATTTTTTACATTGTCCATCTAAATCTGTCCTAATAAATGAATAATAAATGTTATTTTTATAAAGATTAATTACAAGTATTATATTCATTTTATATGATTTTATTTACCCATTCCACCATGCAAATATAATTCGACCAACCATTCCAGTCCCATCTTTTAATATCCATGTTATTGCTGCTGCTAATGGAGTTGCTGCAGCTTCACCTACACCTACTCCTTGCATAATAGAATGTGTTGTGAGAGTTCCCATTATGGTACTTGCAAATGCCTATCACAAATTAAAAAATAATAATACAGATTAATTTCATTTAAAAACAATACTTTCATTCATAATATTGCAAATAGATTTTGTATCTTTCTATGTAAACTAACCTGAACTGTATCCCATATTTGATAAGAAGTATAATCGGGATGAACGCTATCAGGAAATCCTTGAGGTAAAAATACTTCTTTTATAATCGATATTAAACCGGAATAAAAAGACTTCGTTCTAGTTGTGTCTGATAACAGTTCAGTTATCGATTGTTCGTCTGTAGAAGTTAAGCGATAGGTTAGGTAAACTAATAGTAATGTTTATTATGTCAGAATACAGATACCTTTTGATTTGACGAAAAATCTATCTTTCTCACTCCCGTAGGCCTCAGTGAATAATAATCGCTCATGCATTTCGAAGTGCACTGAGGTTACTTTGGTTTAATTTGAATGTACCGTATGATAACATATGCACTTTTATTAACGATCATAGTCGCTGTTATATCCGCGCGCGATTACACTTGCACTACAGATGCACTAAAATTCCCTAATATTTTACGAAAAATATATCACGAAAATTTCATAATTAAATATTTTTCAAAAAAGGATTCACTAATATAACTAAGGATTCAAAAATATGTGAAAAAAGACGACGAAAATAGAGTTCTCTTTTCTTTTTTTTCTTTTAACAAGAGAATATGATATTTCAATTTAGAAATTTTATAAAATAGAAAATTTCTGTTTACTTATTCAAATATTTTTCATATTTTTATTTTTATAATTTTTCTATGATATTGCATTGCGCATTTGAAAAAATTAAAGAAGCATCTTCGATTATTTCATTTAATTCGTTTATGCATGCATCCAATCTTCTTTTTACATTTTTTGCATCAAATTTTGAATTCTTTAATAAATTAACTTTTTGTATTTTATTATGGAAATCTGAAATGAAATGGTTTCCACGAACTTCTGCGCCACCACCCATTCGATTTATTGAATATTTGAAAAGTTCACTTTCATCTTCCATATTGTCTGCTAAATTTATTTTATACTTATTGTTAGTCAATTCATTTTTCATTTTCGATTCAATTTTATTTTCTTGCGATTTTTCAGATTCAATTCCAATTAATTTACATGTGTAATTAACTTTTGCACATGTTATATTGTTTTCACTATTTGTCAAATCTTCTAACTGATATTTTTCGTCATTCTTTTGTTCTTTTGTATTTGTTAATTTTGTTATATTTACATCAGAATCTAAAGTTACAAAAAGATTAGTTTTCGATGAAAATTCTATTTTCTTATTTGGTTTTAAAACATTGTTATCCTTCATATATGATTCTATCTTGAAAAAATTTAAAAAAGATCGTTTTCTTTTACGATCCATTGTTAAGTCACACTGAGTTCCCTGAGAAATTTTCATCTTCCTTTCTTTTTCCATGTTTTCAAAAACAAACTCTGAATCTCTTACTTGTAATTTTTCACTTGTTAAAAGATTATTTAAATCTGTTATATAATTAGGTGCTTTATCATCAATTTTTTTATATTTTGTTTTATAATTATTTAATAAATTATTTTTTAAAAAACTTGCAAGAATATCTGATCTTTTCGAAAAAATAACTTTATCAAATTTTATATTACTCTGAGAAGTGTTAAAATCATTTTCAAAACTGAAAGACATGTTGCAAGCATTTTCAGTTTTTTTAAATAATTTCCTTTTTTTATCATAATTGACATTTTTTAAAGCACTGATTTCGTCTCGTAATTGTAGAATTTTATGATTTACAATAGTTATAATTTTCGCAATATCATTTAAATTGATTTCTTCATCTTGGACGTGACAACAACAACGATTTGTCGTTGATTGTTTTACATGTATTGACATTTCTATTAATATTTTTATATAACAGCATATTATATATTCAAAAGAAAATGCTTACAATAATAATGTATTTTGCCTTGTGAAGTGAAAAAAATTAATTTCTTCTTCTATGTTACATTAAGTGTTTACATTATTTCACGATGAAATTATAGGTTATGTTTGTGACATTACAATGAAGTAAATTCAGATTGGCGCGAAGTTCATCTGTTCTTGTATTTTAATTAAATACTAAAATAGATATGTATATATTTTTGGAATTGACAAATATGTTACATATTTTATGAGGTATAATATGTCCGAAAAATATGTGAAGGAAATTTTTGAGAAGCTTGATGAAATTGAGAAATTACATGCAAAACTGCGCAGTTTGGTGCCACGCGTAAAAAATAATGAATTAGAAATCACGGAAAACAAACAATCTGTTGCGAAAGAAACGAAAGAGAATAAACATTTACCAGAACAAAAAACTATCAATTTAAAATCAAGGATAAGAAAGTTATTCGGTAAAAAAACGAGACCTCAATTAATGAAATATTTTAAAAAGTTTAAAAATAATTCTGGCAATAAATGGAAAGAATTAAAAAATCGTTTAGCAACTCTAAACGAACCTGAAGTTATATTGGGTAAAAATTAATTACTCGTTTTGTTAAAAATAGATATACTTCATTCACTATAATTGTTTCTATTAAAATTTTCAGTAAGCAGAGCTTCTCAAGTATCAGACGGTGATATATCAAAATTAATTTCAGAAGAAAAATCTCCAAAAAAAAAGAGAAAATTATTTAAGAGAAAAAAATCGGCACCGCAAGATTTTCCAGATCAAGTTTTAAAACACTTAGGTTATTTTTATGATTCTAACCCAATTTTAAATGACTATGTAGTATCAATGCATGATCATGGTTTAGGTAAAAATACACCTCATAAAGTGCAGAAAAAGGCACTTGTCCAAGACGAGGATACTGAAACATTAAAAATTGTTTCATCTGCAAGGAAAATCCCAACGACTCCCGATGGATTAAAATGGTCTTCATTACTCCGTCACAACCCGTCCCCATAAATTATCAGGAAAATATATTGACGTTCAATTAGAAATACAATACATATTTCTTTGATGAATTCTAAGATTAATGAAATAATAATATTATGAATAATATATAAGTACCGTCATAAGAACTTAATTATAATAAGAAAAATAAGGCGTATGAAGTATGAAACATAGGATGCAATAAGAAGATTGATATTCCATAATTTTTTTTATATATATATATAAATATAATTTTTATTTTATTCATTTAAACTTATTTTGACACATCAAATATCATTTCGTAGTACTGTACTGTACTGCCATCTGAACCAGGATCGAGAATAAATATTGCCATGTGGTAGTACTCGAAGCAGCCCAATGAGAAAGAAACGGAAATGTTTGAAAGAAACCTTAGAATACGTGGGCTGGCAGATGGGGGCACCGGAAAGGCGGATTCTACCGGAAGTCACGAAAGTTCAAACATAACATTACGATTACGAATAAATTTTTCGTTTTTAATTTATATCGAAATGAATCAAGTTTATTTATAAGATAGAAAAAGATATTCATATTTTAATATTAATTTTTATATCGAAACTTTTCATTTGTGCTTAATATTTTCTTAATTTAATTCTCTCTAATACTTTTTTCTTTTTCTTGCTGTTCTTTTTTATTATTGATACATTCTAATTTCAAAAATTAAAAAAAATATTAAAAATAATTTATGACTGTACATAATTTTAAAGTATTTTATAATACAATTGCAAATTCAATCTTGTTTGATGTAAAATGACTAATCGATTTCAATGACAATCAGGTAAATTTAGATGTTGTTCCGTGATTTCCGTGATTTGCACGGATTCATATTGTATTGAAGACTATTGGAAATTTGACAAAAAAATTGAACTCATAATGTCATTTTCTACGATGTAAAAACTGGAACTCTGACTTGCATATATTACATTTTTGTTTGAAGCAATGAACAATCAGCACTGGTAATGGCGTTTAACGGTTTTTCCTAGGAAAAAAAATGTTTTCAAGTATAAATGCAAGCGTTATAAATATTTATGTATATTAATAAACAAATAATCCTTTTTTAGGTAAAATCAATAAATTGAGTAATCTTTTGATTCTTTTTTAAATTAAATTTAAAAAACTACTATGTTTTTATGTGTAATATTACCAATTATTTGTAAACATCCAATAATCAATGAATTGAATATTATTATTCTAAGAATAAGATTGAAACAAGGTAATAATAGAATAACTAATTTAATAATAATTAGAATATTTCAAATATTCTTTTTTATTTATTAAAAAAATTTTTTATTAATAAGAAATTTGTAAATATTCCATGATATTCATTGTTATTGGACAAGTTCTAATTTGAAACTTGAAGATGTCTCAAAGTATATCACGATATCAGGAGGATAACAGAGCTTCGGTCTTAAAAACAAGAAATATCGATAAACAAACCAGCTACACTTAAACGAACCGGGTAAAAGTGCGAATAAACGAGCGTATGAAGAACGTGCCGCTGCCGTTCCTCATGTTCCTTCCTAGGCCCAGTGCTCGTTTTCCAGTCAACGACTTTGTCGGATGTGTTGCACATACGTGCACTGTTGCATGCGGGAAATATGGCGTACCGCATACACGCACGTGGGTCGCGAAGGTGGGGCTATGCCTTGCAAGCTATTCCTGGAGTCGCAAGTAGCATAACAACACAGCCCTATACGACGCTATGTACTTATGTTTCGTTGCGGCCGAGAGATGGGGTGGTGGATTGATAACGCAACGACATCTTGAAATTCCTTGCTCTACTCTTCAGAAAATGTGATTCATGTGATTCATGGAAACAATCTCCATATTCGTTTTCATTAATCGTCGATTTTAATTAGACGAAGAGAGAAAGGTATTTGTCGAGCCTAGGTTCTAATATCGTATTGGTCAATCGTTTCGTCACTAATCAAGTTTAAAGCGCACTTGATAATTCTAAGAATTACCATCACTGTTTCATTGGCTATTTATGGTGTGAATGGAAGGATAAGCAATTTTCCTTCAAGAATTTCGGTATCGAGCAAATGGATTACCTATATTTCAAAGCTATATGATATTCATACCTGAACCTTTCTCAAGTAAAACAAAAAAGATTAGAACGTATGAATACCAAGTCTACGAATAAATTGAATGTCTATAATGTGTTTACTGAATAGAAAGTTATTGTTAATGCATGGTAATGCATAATGAACAACTTATGGGATATTTCTAAGCACTTGACACAGCATTTCGAGGAATTTGAAAATCGCGAAACAACAGATTCACGAAGGGAAATTAATTTCATCGACAAGGGGCACGCGACTTCTCGAGTCACACGGTATTCCTCTCTTTTCTCTTCTTTCCTCTATCGTCCTTTGCCCCGTCCCCACCATTCCACAGTTTTGTAATGCCTCTCTGTCTCTGGCACTTCCTGTGTTCCGCCACGTTCACCTGACTGCCGGCACCTGCCTTCATAAGTATCTAGGTGTACACAGCGTATAGAAGCAAAGCGTGTATTCTATGGGACTTTAGTTTCTCCGCTCGTTTCATCGGCCACGGTGTACTCTCTGGCTTGTGCCTACTAGCGCACACATTCCACCTGGAAACACGTCGAGTTCGCTACACGCAGTCGATGTTACGCTGTCGTTCACCACGGCCGGACTATCGGAGCTTTTCCTCTCCCGTTGATAACAGTCACGCCTCGAACCGGCGAACCTGCGCCCGATCATTAGTGTCCTCCGCGACCACCGATAGTTCAATTTCTCCAGGATTACCATTGGAATCGAAAGGTTCGATTATTATAAATAATTCTATTTCTTCTTTCTTTGATATTTCTCTTTATTACCTCTTCTGATATCTGGTTCTTTGTAGAATTTTTCCAAAGAATAATCGAAGGGATCTATTATTTAGATTTTGAATAATAATAGGTATTGAAGGTCCATCGCGATCCTCGAAACCCATTGTGATCTTTGTTGAAAGGAAGCATAGTTCGGATCTATATTTGAATTTCTATTGGAATAGAATTTCTGTTGGATCATTGATATTGTTTAATAAGCGACGTTTTTATTTTTCATGTTCTGATTGAGAAGAAGGAAGAATAGATTGTGGAACGTTTCAACAAGGATGGCATAGAAGATTTGAAATAGCTGAGGAAACGTGCCGAACGATCCTTTTACGAGCCGAGATCTCAACTCGATATTCGCGAATTCTTGCGATAGTGAAGGATTTGTTTAGTGTAATAATTCGTTTCTCGAAGCCGAAAGGTGAATCTTTCACTGTAAAGTGAACTGTTTGCATGTGCAGCTGATTCTTTTATCAGCTCAGTTGGCTTCAGTGCTTTATAATGTCATCTGGATTTCGTAGCCGGTGAGTAATTCTTGTACAAGTTTCTTAATAAAACCAATATTCTGCTTTTTCTATTATTACATCTATGGTAGATTAAAATTAAAAATTTTTAAAAAATTTTCCTCTCATAATTACGATAAATAATAAAATCGATAGATCCCTTTTTTATTACTATTTTTGTTTTCTAATATTTGAAAAATTATTAATTGCAAGTAAGAACTGTTACCTTAGGATTTAAAGATATTAGAGAGTGCCATAAAACATTCACGATCGAGAGGTGATTATTGATGGAAAATCCCAGACTCCTGATTTGAAAAACAAATTTCGGATATTACTAGTCAGGACAGGTAGAAAAACCTATTGAAACAATGGGCTTGTGCGTTTCTTCTCATAGGCGGCTGTAATGGCGTTCCTCTTGGCGTGAATACGCACGTGTTCCGGCCGCGTTCCAAGAGCGAGCAATTTCGATTCTTCCATAGCTTTCCCACAACGATCCTCTTCTTGAAACTTTATTCGCTTGAAATAACTCCAGAGGAAATTCTAAACACGTTAAAGTATTATTATCATAATAATTCTTATTTCTTCTTTCGTCAAGTGAAAGAAAGTGAACAAACTATTTTTACTTTCAGAAACTTATTTCTTTTAATTCATTCTTCGATTCAATCTAATTCTCTTTTTTTTTTACAATAAACTTCGTTTCTATATACATTCCATTCTCAACATTGATTTTATTCCATTCTTTTATTCGACAAGAAATATCGTCAATTAAAGTTATTCGAATTGTACGCGTACCAATATTCGATCTTATTAATTGCCGACTAATAATTGTTAAATTGCATCGATCGATTTAATGCATGGTATCGTAACAAGGATGCATAGTGATATATAAACTGGAACGGTGAATTATTAATTCGAAACAATCCGATTGACGAGGGAGAATAATGAGGCCGCATGCATCAACCGTTCTCCCGACTGTTTACTTATTGCCGCGTGTGCTATTACAAAGGAACTCGGTATCTACCTTCGTTTCTCGGCTACTGGCTGCTAAGTGGCTCGTTTCAATGGAAAATACGCCGCTAATAAACGTTAATTTAATCGTATCGAATGTAATAGGTATCCGCTATTAACAACTTTTTATTAACAAGGATTTTAGTTTCGATCATTTTACAATTTTCAATTCATATATGGATTCTGAAGAGGAAGTAGAATTCTCGATTGAAATCCCTTTCATAATTTCGAGAATCGAATTTTTTTAATTTAATTCGTTAATTTGAAATTAATTCTACAAATATGAAAAATAATTTTATTTAATAGATTTTTTTGATCGTTAATCTTGTATCATCTTGTATCAAATCTTGTATCAAAAACTCTACATTAATTAATTTTTCTTGAATTATAAGTTGTTTTAATTAATCACAAAATTCAAAGAAGATTGAAGAATATTTGCATGATTTTAATTAAAACATATTTTCTTCACAACGTTGTTTTTCTTTCTAAAGTAAAATTTTGTATTCCTACGAATATACAATCGATATGATTTCGATGGATGTAGAAAGAAAGAAGAAAAATTAATAAGAATAATATTAAAGTGTGGGATGGCAAGAGTGCATCCGATGACATTTTCCTCGTGGCACGTTCACGCCTATCTGGTGGCAGAATCGCGCGCGTGCATACGAACGCTTCGTTACATTCTCGAAGACAACCTCGAGGCCAGGATCTCCGACTTTCTCTCATCTCCGTGCATCCATCTTAGGTGTGCGGTTGCATATGCACGGAATGCTGCTGCTGACCGATAAATACCCGTGACGATCAAAGCGATCAAAGATTGATCGATTATCCAGTCTCTTTTTATGGCGCCTTCTGAATGTTTCCACGAATGGTATTCGATTCGATTTAAATTGCTTCTGAAATTTTAGGAATGTTGAATTTTTCATCCTTTCTTTATTATGTGAATGCATAATAAATCGTATCAAAGTCTATTTTATTCTCTTTTCTTTGAATTCTAATTTGAATATTTTAGCTTCTTTGAGATAAAAAAATTTCAGAGTTAACTCCGATTCAAGATCCCCAAAAATCGTAGGACTTTTTAAAATATTCTAGAATAAGAAAATGTTACATTAATAAAAGTAAAAAGATAATTTAATTCGATAAAATAAAAATTCTTTTAAAATTTTTTTAAACTTATTAGCGAATTTAAGTTGCTAAACCTTATAAGAATTCTTCGTGTTACGTTTAACCGAGTTTCAACATACCTGCTTAAGGTGAATGAATTAGTATGAAAGGGAGAACACCGAATTCCAGCGCATACTTGTACATATATGCGAATAGGAGAAGGGTAATTCCAAGTACCACCTGCTCCGATCGTAGATTCAACATCGCATATCCTATTTTATTTCTTTTTCATTTCGAATATTCCGATTCTTTGGAATTCTTTAAGAAAAAAAAATATTCTCTGGAAAAGATTAATAACAATTTTAAATTACGTAAATTTTGAATAGCATTAAAATCGATGTACCTCGAGATATTCATAAGCTATATCTGATTATTAAATTAATCAATTTTTAAACATTTTATTTAAAAAACACTTTGAAAAATATAGACGACATTATGAGTACTTCTTCATCTTTTTTTCATTTGGGCGACATTTAACAGACCTTGGGCGTGTTTTATGCAAAATTGGAAATCACCGTGAATACTAAAACTGCTTGGAGACGTGTTACTCTCATCGCTAGTCCCCGATGCATCGTGGCTGCAGCTGCCCGCTCTGTGTGACAGCTGCAGCTTTTTACTCACTGCACTGGTTACTCTGGTTTCCATGTGCGGAAGACGTCGGACACGTTGTATGTAGTATGATCGTGCTGGTCGCACGCCACTGGCCGATAAAAAGACCGTGGAAAAAGAGAGGGAAACGACGCAATATGATATCCTATTACACATATAAATTATAACAATATATAATTACCATAGACAACTTTTTGATTCTTCAGCCATGTCGATTGATCTTAAGGATTGGTTACTTGTATGGAAATGATCAAATAAATTTCCACGTAATTTGTGTTTACGAATTTCATCGTGCACATTGATGCGTTATTTGTGGATCTTTTAGAAAATAATAACGCGAGAAAGCGTATTAATTCCATGCGTTGTTTGAAACTCGTAGTCCTTGAAGCTGTGTATTTCGATAAAGGTATTTAATATTTCGATATTTCATGTAGTGGGCGACGTATCACGATATTCTATATCCTGTTTATTGCAAATTAGTTGGAATTGAAAGATAAAGTTTCATTGTAGGACACGTATATTGAATACTTGTTAATGAGAAAGATATGTTAAAATAGAATTTTGTTGAAACAAAATTGATTTCTTGTTTTGATTATAAATCAAGATTTTTGTATATTCCATTGTCATTGTATTATCATAATCTTATAATAACAGAATGTTTTAATAATATTCTCCAGTAATTATCTCAATTTTCTATAACTTTTCAAATTTTAATTCTATGAAATTATATATGTCTTATATATGTTAATGATCCTGTGATCAGATTGCGATAAAAGTAAATTTATTCGATAATTTCATTTAATAGACAATGGGCATTGTTAATTGTTATATAAGATAATCATTCGACGATATGAATGTTGATTCATAATAATTACCATGTATAGTATCAACTCATTCCAAATTTGAACAGATACATCATCTAAAAATCTTCTTATCAGAATTTTTGAACTTATTCACATTATCTCATTATTATTCATATTATCAATTCAATGAATACAACATTTCACATAACAGCACTCAATCAAAGCAGTGAACAATATTTAAAATGTTAAATTATGTCTATGTTAAATTATTTGCAAATTCACTTCAAAAAGAATAATCGAATTCTGGATAATTTTGAACAACAGCCAGAAACGTGTACCAAAGCTTGACACGGGTATGAGAGACATCTGGCCAGTGATCCATCCGAAAATGCACCAGATGCAGGTGCATCCTCGATCCGTGCAAGCGGCGCGTTCCTCTGTGATTTCATCGTTATTTTGTCCAGTCGAGTTGAGTTCGAAAGGTTTCTTTCCACGTTGGAAATTGGGGGTGATTTCACAGTTAAGGCGAACAGATGTTGTGCACGCTTTCGAAGATGTTCAACGTCTGAGAATATCGTTGATTCAGATTTCGCTTTTCCTTCTATGTAAAATTGAATTGCTCGTGGAAATGTTATAGTCAGTTATCTAGATCGAGATCCTGATAGTTTAGATCGATGGAAAAAAGGAAACGGAATGGCGGTCGAATATTCATGATCCTTAATTACACGTTGGTAGATGAAGATCGAAATAAGAGAAAGATGTCGTGTGATGATAAATTGTTGGCTGATTCTTTTGTAGTGTTAGGTAAATTGAGGGAAATACTTGCTGAAATTTCCTGTTGAGAATTATAGAAGGTGAATTTGTAGCATCTTTTAGCTGTTGTGTAACTTTTTTTAATTCTTCTATCCATGTCTGTGCATCACTAGAAAATTTAATTTTAAATGAGTAATAAAGAAAAAAAGATATGATAAAAATAAATGATTGAAAAAAATCGAAAAAAAAATTTTATAGAATTGAATAATAGCAATAAAATGGAAAAAGAAGAAAAAAAAAATTTAAAGATTAATAGATAGAGGATTGAAAAATAAAGAATAAGTAAAATTATGAATTAATTAAAGAATTTTTTAATTTTTCCATGTATATAATCTTAGATAATAAAATTACCTGATTTCCCAAATTAAAATTCATATCCAACATAATTGAATTTAATTTTAATTTAATTTAATTTAACATAATTTAACTTCTTAAATTATACACGGTGGAAAAATTAAAAAAAGCAAATTAAGTTCATTACCCATGAATGGTAGAAATTTATGTAATAACTTATGCGTGCCCTCGTAAAACAAGCAACGAATAAACAGAATGTATTTTCCTTCTGAAAAAATAGTCAAAGAAATAATATAACTGCGTTTCTCGTTTCGCTCGCCGAGTGAACGACGTGAATTCGAATTAACCGTTGTTTTATGCGAATAGCTGACGCACTTGCAGCACGAATGGATATATTCGAGAAGGTTGGTTGGAGGTTGAGACACAAGATGAACTGGTGCCTATCCTTTCACTTGGCCGTTTTGTGATACGAACCTCCCTACTTGCGAATGGTACTTAAATGTGTGTGCGTCCGTTTATCCTTAAGGCCGATTACACAACCAAACGAATACAGGGTGTCCCGTTTGCTCGGAATTCCTGCCACTTTCCCGATATGGGATCTAACATCTCAAGGATTTTGCTCGTTGCAACGTTATCTCGAACTGGAGAAATTTTCATTGATGAAACCTTAAAAAGAGAAATATCGATATTTTTAAAGAAAAATCAAATTTGTAATTTTATTAGAATCATTCAATTATTCTAATTTTGATTGTTTCGAATCTTTTTATTGAAAAATTAGAAAATTTATGATATTTATTAAGAGTTTAATTATACACTCGAGATTCACGAGATGTTTGGATATATTAGAGAAAGAAAATTTTTGATTCTTCTACTTCTTCGTCGTTTAAATAACAAATAAACCACCCTATATATATTTTCAGTCAAAGTTCATTAAACCCGTAACAACTTTCATCATCCTCTTTCACAAAATATTCACTTGAATACTGACAAACATACCGATGATAATAAACATCGAACAAACTTTTTAGGTTAGGACAATTTGTCGAATTGGAAACAAAGAGTTCTGACAAATTAGGACAATGCAAGTTCCCAGAGATGCTCAAGGTAATGGAGAACCATTATATAGTAGCTCCATGAACTAACGACTTTCTTAAATATATTGCTTAAAGGCAAGAAGATGCACTTAAAGCCATTTGAGAATTCGCCTGTAAGTTGTCAGTACTGCTTTCGTGTTAATAGCTCGAGTGGAATGCATAGATTCCATGGACAAACTTGAAACTTTGTGTAGATGTCACATCGAGATTTATTTCTCAATCGTATGCGAGAAAAGAAGATCGAAAAATTTTGAAGAATTATCGATTCAACGAAATATTAGATTATCCATTACAGTTGGAAAAGGATGAGTTTCGTAACAACCACCATGTGATGAGCCGGTTACAATGTAATTGCGCCGGATAACCGGCCAATCTCTCGAAACCGGTCGTAATAGTTTCGACTTCCGGTTTCCCGCCGGATCAACCGAATCACTATGGCTTTCGTCAATGATGAATTAATGAAAAACATCGTCTTGAATTTGAGTATTGGATCGTGTACAAATTTAATTATCTATCTTCTTATTACATTTATTTTTTGCATTGTAATGTCAATTTAATATCAAGAAATAAATTAAATTGAAAAAATTAAATAATGAAACTCAATAAATTCAAAAAATAATATATTTCGAAGTATGTAATGAATTCGAAGTAACAGGAAGTTTCAGAAGTAATTGGAAGCAATTGATAAATTGAAATCGATTTATTTCAAAAAACTGATAAATTCAGAGATGTCTTGCCTCGAAATTATTTAATGAATTCAAGATGATTTAACTTCAGAGTAATAAATTTGAATGGTATTACGAATTGCAAAAATTGAGGTTAATTAACGTTCATTATGATATATTTTATAATTATTAATTAAGGTTAAGACGTTAAATTTAGAAGTGGAAATGATCTCTAAATTATTAGTAGTTAAATGATTTAATTAACTTTGAAAGAGATCTAAACGTTTATTTTTATTTTAACAATTAAATAAATTATTATTAATACCTTGATATAATCATATTGAATTCATTTTTATTGATCGTTCTCCAATGCGATTTTAGATTTAACCTTTTCTCCAAAGTACTTAAGTTAATTAAAGCCATTTAACAAGAAAATTCGATCGAACTGAATAAGAATGAATCTCTTTACATTTAAGTAGCCTATTAATTCCTTAGTTCAAACGAAAAAAATAATTGATATATCAAAATAAACTTTTGCTAATTGTTTCGATAAACTATTTTAATAATATTTTAATCTGCACAATATATATATATACTGTCTATTTCATTTCCATATATCTATATTCTAAGAATCAACTTTTCAATTTGGCTATCATAAAAATCAATATTATCACAATTTATTCCTTATACATTCATAAAAATCTTCTCTAAAAATAGAAAATATTCATTTAAAGATCTTCTGATCATTCAAAGAGTCAGGAAACACCATTCACAAGAACTCACACATTATGATATACGAAAGAATATTCAAATATAAAAATCTCAATAAAAACTTCTTATAGACGATGTGTCAATGTGACGTAACAATACCAATCCATTATTATTCCCCATAAATACCGGAGAACACGAAACAAAGAATAAATCTTCCATACCTGCAATTAACGACGAGAATATTTATGTTCCTCCGTCATTATACATGTACACCATCGAGTCGCGAAGAACCCTCGGGATACACGTGATACGTGACTACGTATACTCATCCAGGACCACGAGATTTCCCCCTTCCAGGTGCCTAAAAGGGAGCAGATGTGCACGTGGACGCAGGAAGTTTAGTTTTACAGAAGGAGCAGCTGACCTACACCGCGCATTCCTCGTGCAAGAGGATGGTCTCGGTGGTTGGCTTCGAAAAAGGGGGTTGATTGCCCCGTGGAGCTAGGTACAGCCTAGATATACACCCACATGTTGGCGCGGAAAGGAAAGGGGGCCCCCTATTTGAGAAACCATTTCATTAATGTGCACGTTCATTTCCTCAATGCATACTTTCATTTCATGTTTTAAGGGATGCTTATTTGATACGGGAAATGAGCTCCTTTTTTCTTCTTTTTCTAAATCGTTTGTGAGAATATTGTTGTTTCCTTTAAAATCGAAAATTTACAATTATTTTTATTTTTCATTGGTTGCTGTAGATTTTTGAAATGAATTGTATATTTGCTTTTATTTGTATTGCTTTTATATGTATTATATATGAAGTAATATATCCGTGAGTCCTCTTGATTAAACTTTTCAAACGAAATGTTTTTTTTCACTTTTCATTGTAGACATATTAAGAAAAATTCAAAATTATATGATGCTTTCGTTTATACGAAATATAACATGTGTTATTATGAATTAATATATTAAAAAATTAAAAGAAAATTAAGAATCCATCATTATAAATTCTTATTATATAATGTGCTTCTTATCTTATAAAGTTTATAAGTTACTGATTATCTTATTTCCAAACATTCTCATTTATTGTCAATATCCAAAACATTAATATCATTATCATCACATATCATTAGAAGGGTGCATATATAATTTTCTTTCCATCTTACATAAATTCTTTTAAATTCCACAATTTTCTGGCATTATCTGAAAAATATAACCAAGCTAAAGAAAAAAAAATAGAAAAATTTTTCAAAGAATTTCCTCCAGGAAATTCACAAGATTAAAGCTAAAACTAAAGGATTAAATCAATGGTCTCTATAAGATAGTTTTTACCTCAATTTTGGAAGAACCGGAATGAGAACACGAGAAGTTAGACCATGAGAACGAGGTAATGGCATACGAGAGGAGAAGGTGGCAGAGGTGGGTGAAGAGGATGAGGAGGAGGCAGAAAAGCTGCCGGTCAGATTGTGAGCCAAGCGAGGAGGGTTGCAGCTGCTGTGACAGCTGCAGACTTCCCAATATTATTCGCTGGGCCGCTCCTATCCTCCGAATGGTCCCTCACGTAGCCTCTCCAGGTGCTGCTCGCATCGGCACCTCGAAAAATCCTTCTTTGTTCGAGCTGAATGCTCTATGTGCTGTCTGGCCCTGTTCAATATCGATCTGGGATGAATTTTTATTGATTTCATGTTATATTGTGATGCGAAGAAAATTTATTTTTATTCCTGAAGCATGTATTAAAAATTATTTTCTGAAGAGATATTATACTTCATCTTTCTGTATATTTGTATCAAGGAATTTTTTATTATTTGAAGTTTATCTAGAAAATGGAATATATTAAAAATTTGTTTTATTTGTTTTTTTGAGATGTTTTGCAATATATGTTATGTGTGAGGAATATTGATTAGGAATTTCAAAGCAAGATTGATTTTCCATTGAATATTTATATCTAAATTTTTTAATAAATATATAATATTTAATATGAAATAATTTTATTCACCTCAAAAATTACTTCATTATCGATTTCAATCACAAAGGAAATTTATTTTTCTCCTTAAAGAGACATTCGTTCTCTTTTAACTCATAATTCACAATTTCTTTTTAAACATTTTAAAATATTCCTTTCTATATAATTATCTCTATCAATATTATTCTTGATTCTTGATTCTTCTTGATTATTCTTGATTCTTCTCTTCAATTATTCTTGATTCCAAGTTGATTAGTTTATATATACATATATCAGTTATAAAAAACATATTCAGTGCACGAATTATTGCGTAACCATCAACATATTCAGGTCGGTAGCTCGACCTTTCCCCAGTATGTACCTGTGCCGGATGCAAAACTGGACTAAACGTCAAGGAAACGTATGCCTACCACTGAATCTACGTAATCGCGATTTCCCTCGTGATTACAAAAACGTGCACCAGAAATCCATGGAAAAATCATGAAACTGTCAGTTTCAAACCTGTTGACGATAAAAAGAATTACTATGATTTCGAACTTACAATATGGATTGTAGTTTGATAACTTGTAACATGTTTGACAACTTTCTACTTTGTTTTTTATTTAAAAAAACGATGGTGAATCATTAAATTCTCATTCGAATCGCTCCATTTCCGTTTATCGACATGTAATCGAGTTGGTTTAGAATAGATCGAGATGATAAAAAGATGCCGATGAGAGGACGGTTTTTCTGAGTTCCGGTTGCATTGAGATATTCTGTATGCTGGCGGTTCTGATAAGTCAGCATCTGGTCTGGAAATCGGAGAAACTGGTTATTAAGGATATCGGATCCCTTGACACGAGAAACGTTACGCACCAATTACATTAGTGTTCGATATTTCATCGCAAAAGTGGCCTGAATGATATTGTTGGAAAATGCAACGGTCTGCAATATATTTCTATATTTCTTCATATTAGATCCAAATAGAAAACGAATAATTTTTCATGAAAATTTTTTTTTGATTCAGGATATCTTCTTTTTTTATAATGAAATATTTGATTTTGTAATTTATAATTCATGTACACATATGGAAGTTTTTTTCAATTATCCTTATGTAGCTAGAAAAAAAATCTTAAAATATATATATAAAATGTATATGTATATAATCTTGTATATGTATATAGAAAAAAAATTAGGATTTCATAAAATAATATTACCTTGAAATTTCTTTAAAAAATAATTTCTTATGCCTCTTATCATTAATATAACTTTGTAATATGATCTTCGTCGATATCTAAAATGATTCATCTTTTATTTAATATATTATATACTTTAATATATTATATCTATATCATATTTTTTTTAAAATAATTCTTTAAACTCTGTATGAAATAAAATGGAATAAAATATTTCAGAAATTCAAATTGAAATCTGTAGAAAGTGATGTCGATGACAACCATCGAAACTCATGTAAGTTTACTCTTAAGAAAGAATGATTTTGATCTAGAGAGAAAAAAGAGGGGAGAGACACCTGCTCTATGTATAAGAAGGGACGAAAAGGTGCGTGATCGTAAATATCATGTCTGTGAAATTATATGTCCTTAGGGAATTAATACAACCTGACATAGCGCACCTGTTGCGAATTTTAAATAAAAGAATCCTTGTATTCGAATTTCAAACCATCACTATCATTCTTCTCTTCTCGATGTTTCTTTTTTTTTGTGAAGACGAGAGCTACAAATAAAAATGAAACAATAAATGCAAATGTAATTTGCTAGTAGAATATTACAATTAATAAAAAATAAATTCCATAAGAAATTGATTTGAATTTTTTGCGAAGAAAATTAATAATAATGCAATCATATCTTGTCTAGTTAAATTGATAAGTTTCTTGAACTTCTTCTGAATTTTTTAATACAATATTAAAGCTTCTCATTTAAAAAAAAAACAACCTATTTTGAATTATAATATTATTGTTATTTAAAATTTATATAATTTTACTAACAATTATAGAATTTATCCTAATAATTTAGTAATTCATTTTGAATTATTTTTACAAAATATCAAATATCAAAATTTCTAATTTATCATTTTTCTAGATACATACATACATTGTTCATATATATATGTAAAAATAAAACAATGAATGAACAACGACGTTCACGATAATACTTCGTTATCCAAGGTGAACAATGCTATTTATATGAGCTAGTCGAAGGCTTTAAATAGGAATCCTTACAATCGACTTCAACTATCCCTGACATAGCTTGTAGTAATAACGTTTCTCTCGATCCGTTTCGATTTTTAAAATAGATTTCATTGTCTTCGATCGATCGTGATTGCATCAAATTAGAGATTGTCATGGCAAAAAATTGAATTATTCGCAAGAACATATGTTAAACTATAATTAGTAAAAGTTATTTGAACAAAACGTACTTTGAATTTGATGTGAATTGGTCCCCTAAAGGTTCAAAATATATCAGGCAGAGAAAAATGACATACCCATTTATCTGATGATCAGTTGGAATTTCTGGTCAAGGAAAATAGGGAACAGATGTGAACTCTTGAACTATGCGGGTTGAATTAAAAATTCAAATCGTTCTACGAATCTTTTGAATGCCCATAATGGATATGAACTCAAAGGGTAAAGCCATTGGTCGAAATTGTGTCAAGACTTAGACAAGATATGATGATGAAGGAACTGATTAAAAATTCTGAAGAGAATCTATATCAAATACTTTTAGATCTGATAATATTTCTCAAATCTGATAATATTAATCAGAGCAAAATGATATTTATAGATATATGAATTTTTTATCTTTACTTTTGAACAATCATTATAAAAATTCGAAAAAAGAAAAAATTCAGAGAAATTCGAGAAGGATATATTTCAATTGCCAAAGATTTTTTATCTGTGACGGATTCAGAATAAATCAATTAACTGTTTCTCTTCTTTTTTTTTAAATCGTTTATTTTTATGTTCCACTTATTCTGCTAATTCTCCACTGCATTCCATATGGCATAATTGTCTTTCATTTAACTACCACCATCTATAAACATAAAGAGATAATATATAAATGTGCTCTGTTTTCGATTGTCCTGGCAAAATAATGTCTCACCAAGATCGAAGGCGGAGCTTCGCGGATGTTCCTTGTTAGAACGCTGGGGTACCGGTTTGTATAGTTGGCCAGAAGGCTCGATTCCGGTCTGGTGGGGGGAAGGTCGAAGAAGGCCGCAGCTGGCTAGATCCTGTCCGCGTACATACAGCTGAACGGTTGAATGTAAGGAACATGCCTTGCCAGTTGGGCCTTACAATGTCGTTTTCCTCCCCTCCACTGTGACGGACCTGCAGTTGGCAACACGAGTATGTCTTTGCCGATCATGAGTCGCTATCGGACAAATTCTTTGTCTTGGAAAGGGCGTCAGTAAAAGTACCGCTTTGATAGCGATCACTTCGACTACCTGGTTCCAATCAACACATCAATAGTCTTGATTAGTTGGAGTGTTTATTGTAAAGGGAACATAGATAATTTTTCTTCAAACACATTTACTTGGATCTTTGAAATGATTTGGCCTCGATATTCACTTAACCTCTATTAAAATATTTAATCAAACATTAGTTAACCTTAAAAATAGTAAATTTTGATGTTTTTTTAAAATTAGTTTTTCTATCACTCTTTGTTTATTTGATTTATATAATTATTAATTTCATTAAAATGAAATATTTATATGTTTGGATATGTTTGGACTATATATGTTATGGAGAAATTAGAAAAAAAATAATTAAAATAAAAGATATTGAATTCTATTATTTTTAATCATACCTTAATGTAAAATCGTTTCGTATCATTTATTATATATATTGAACGCGAATCCTAGGTAACCTTAAACGATTTCTAAACCGCGATCCATGAAGTCAGCGGCGATTGTACTTGTGCCACATATCCGATAATCTCTTTCACACGTTCCTTCATTCACCGTCTTTCCCTGGTCACTGTCCTTGTCTCATCAACACCATTAAACTTCTCTCGTTCTTCCCTTTTTCTTCGTTCATCTAAAATAAAGAAGAAACAAGAAGGCAACGTATTACTTTGACGAAAAAAAGTTTATATCTCTTGAAAATTATACCGTGGTTGCGTTCGTCTTACGATATCATTTTATACAGTCTCGCTTCCTCTTATAATACGAACCACCCCATTAGCCATTTTCCACTATGCTCGTCCTTGTTTCGCACGTGTTGCTTCTCGCTTTCTATCGTATCTACCAATCAGCGCGCTTGGTCCAGCGGGCATGACGCGACCGTTCCACAGAGAGGACCGACCGACCGGACTGCGAACAGTCTGTCAGTAAACTTCGTGGCGTGCGTTGCTAGCGCGCGTGCTAGCAGACCGTTTCCATGCGTGTCACGACACGGATACACGCCAGCCGATCTCTCGAACTGCTTATTAATATTTATAAGCGGTTGGTTAACGCTTCAAAGTGAATTCATAGTTTGTGAAGATCAGGCTACAGAAGATTTGCGTCTGAACAAATGCCGACATCGAATTCTCTCCTTATTTTTTGTGTTTTGCCAATTTTTTAAGCAATCGCGAGTGCCAGAACGCGTATTGAACTCACTGAATTAAATATACATACAGATAGTAATATTACTGTATATTATATCGGTGAAATTTTGAAAAAGAAGAAAAGATGGTGCGTGGTCTGTCGCAGTGGACGAAAACCTTGAGCTTCCCTGCGAGGGTGTCCCCCCAGAGGCCTGCCAAGGAGTCGAAAGGGTTTCATGTGAGCCCCAGTGCTAGTCCCACATCGCCACCCAGCCCAATCAACGACAACATGGACAAGGCGCCGATTATTACCGATGAGGTTAGAATCTCACTTTTTTTATTCTAACATGCTTATCGTGCTTAATGGTAGTGTTTTCGAAATTTAATCTATATTAATGATGATTGATTTCATAAGAGAGAAAAATAATGATGGATTGTGTAATTCTTTATATGTGTAAACATAAGTGTGTTTTAGTTTCTGCAAAGTGAATAACCTCATTCAAAGAAATATACAAATTTAATTTTATATATTGTTTAATTTATAAATGATCACAGTTAGGCATACCAACTTCCACGTAGGTCATTCCTCGAATATACTGGAGCAGCGTTTCAAGTTTATCGTCATACGTGTTTCAGATAACGGTCTGTTGCTATACGCTTCAAGCAACCATGGTTTAATCGTCAGTTATGTGCTGCATTTCAGTTCTTGCATTTGCACTTGTAGTGGCCTATACGTTTGTTTACTTTCACATTGATACTTCACATATTGATAGTTCATTGAAAAAAAGTATTATTAAATAAACGCGACATTAATTTATATTACTTCTAATTGAGATTTATCTTCCAATCATATTTATTTAAAATTACTATAAAAACATATATTTTTTAATTTTTAGAAAATAACAAATTTTACTTGCGTTCACCATTCGTTACATTCAATTTCATAACCATGTCGAACAGCCATGTAATTTAATCTTCATGCGAATAAAGGGAAACCGCAGAATGGGGGAAATCTATTATTGGACAAAACGGAAACAGAGGGTTGCGTTTCGATATCATTTACAACAGCACCATTCATGATTCTATATCGTTATTGGCATAGATTCAGTTTTCTACCTATACGCGCCTTTGTTAATATATTACATATTAGTTCTCTTATTAAATACATACCTTTGTAACCATTTGATATCGATTTGTGAACACTTTTGTCAGAAACAAAACATTGTATAAGTTTGAATACTGAAAAGGGAGAATTTTCGTATTCATTCTTTGAATGCAGTCAAGCAATTCAATGCAAAACTAAATTATCCTTATGGCAGCTTTAATAATAATGTAGTGTAATAATTATTTTTTGAATACATGCTTCTTAACTAATATTTAATATTTTCTCTTAATATTCTTTTTTTTGCAAATTAATATGGCTACATTATCTATAAATTGTATAATAACACCACTAATTACAGTGAATAGAGTAATTTTTTGTTAAAACAATTCCATGGGTAAAAAAATCATGAAACATAACAGGCAAATGTTTCAACAGGATCGTATACGAAACTACATAACCTTTTCGCCATCTTTCTATCATGTCGACTGAATGATCGATTTATCTCGATAGCTAGAAATATATCGTTACATTGTTTGCATCAAACTTTTTTGAATCTGACTTCAGAATCGATTGTCTCTTTATTATCGATTTATTATCGATTGGATGATTATATCGATTACGATGTGAATTTATCAATATCGAATTTAAAATATAATGTCGTTTCTCTTGAGATTATTCCTTATATTTTTTAAATTGTTTAAGAAATTGTTTTAAAAATTGTATTAAAAATTGTCAAATTATTCATATATATTTAGGATCGCTTCAAATATTTGATTTATTATATTTTTGATCCTTTATTCTTTATGTGTTTGTATAACAAAATAAATGGAATTTATTCATGGGACAAGGGATCGCTGGAAGTCACTTGACATTGTCACCGTCATCCCTCTGCCATATCGACCGTATATTTAAGGAATCGAGTTCATCTTTTTTGCGGTCGGTTTAATCGTTCTAGCCCCCTCAACAACGCGTTGCCAACACACGTGCACGTCATTTATGATTCTTTTTATACAAACATATTTGCGAACGATTGTACACAATGATTGGGAGTGCCAAGTTTCCGCAAGGGGTGATTGGGGATATTCGTTTGTGTAAACACAACTTCAGAAGATGACAATGGCCTAACTGCAGCCGCTTGACGGCACGTGCCTTATGTTAAAAGCGAGTTTCTTTTTTTCACAAACTAATTCGTGTTATTGATGTGTCTAACCACATCAAATTAACAATCGTATTTAAAATAATAATTAGCATAATTTCTAATATTGCATTTATATATAAATAGTTTATGAACTGTTATGGCAAAATTAGGTTAGAAAGAAAAATCGTATTTTAACTTGGAAACATCTTTACTAGAAAAACGATCTATTTCTAGATTTTACTAAACAAGTATGTGCATATTACATAGACTAGTTTCAAGTATCATAGACAACTTGATGAATAAATCAAAGAAAACAAACTTATTCGCAGAATTTATTTGTTTTCACAGAAATATGCACATTTGAAGAAACTTTAAATATGTAAACATATTTAATCTTTTATTATAAAGAAATTCAATTTATTCGAAACAAATGAAAAAAAATAAGATAATAATATTTTTGTTTTTGTTATGATATGAACAACTTAGGATCGATAACAATTAAAAAAATTGTTCGATTTCGATAAAATATGTCATGTACTTAATACCACAAAACTAAATTGAAATTATGAACGCGTAGAAATCTCGCGATGGATAAAAGTTTAGCCTCGTAACAGAAAACGCAAAGTCGCGGTTAAAGACGTTCAAGCGTTCTCGGACTATATAAAATAAAGCGACAGCAAGAGCTGCCAGTGTCGATGAAGGTGGAGGCAAGAAAAGGACCGATGAAGACTGGTCCAAAGGCGGGGAAAGGCGACGGCGGAAGCGTGGG